GGCTTTGTGAGTAAAATGAACATTATCTGGTGTGAAAGGCTTAAAATAAAAGACAACCGAATCAAATACACTGACATTTATTTCAATACAGTCATTCATACATAATGAGACGAAATAAATACAAATCAGGAAATAACAGTACTGCAGTATATGCAATTTTCCCTTTGCATATGATATGTTCTGCCTATCGCAAAATGGAGTTCAGTACATCTTCAACTTATTTTTGTTCTTTGCAGACCCCAGAGAAGTCTGATGATTCCCAGTTCAAAGTCAAAAATGAAAGAAAAGGGGAAAAAAAAGATCATAAACACAGCTGGGTTTTTAGTTTAGGGATAATTTAATGTGGCCGAAAATATCAGAGCTCAAATAACTCAGCTGAAATATCCATTTAACAGTCATTTCCGAGTGCAAATATGCAAATTACGTTTTAAACTTTATAAACACTCATCTCAAATCTTCATTTTTAATGTTTTTGCCACAAACTTATTATTAAATTATTTCATTAACTGCATGAATAAGCAGCATAAACAAATCTCCTCTGTGAGCCTTAAGAATTGCCTGTTTAATCACACATATATATAGAAACATTCCACAAAGCGCTCATATTTACACTAAATCTAAATCTAATTTTTTTATTGCATGATTATGGGTTAAAAAAAAAAAGTTTTGGCCCCGTAATAGTGAGATATCATGGGAAAACTGTAAAGCTTAAATTAAAAAAAGAAGGCACAATCAAGTTCTGTTAATCAAAACATTTCTCATTATTCTACAAGTACAGTACTAAATATTAATGCTGGAAATCATGTCTGAATAATTTATGCATTGAGAGCAAACAAAACATACTGTGGATCACTTCTGTGTAAACATGATGGTTAAGAAGACATTGATGTGACAAGCAAAGTAAAGAGCGTGAATGGTCACTTTTCCACTGCACAAACTTGTAGCAGGAACCAAGTTTACAGGAAGTCCCCATGATCAGCTCTAACAATCTGTGGAGATCCTGAATGCACCAAAAAAAAAAAAAACCACAAAAAACACAAAAAAACACAAAAAAACCCCTGTGAAGGGTAAGACAACGCTATGATTTCTGCTCATACCTTGGTTTTTCTCTACTGATCGGAGCATTACAGCTTTTACCAGACTAGTATGCTTTGGTTCAGGAAACTGAAATAAGTCTTTGACGCAGTCTCCGAGACTTTTCATCTCGATTTCGGTCTCATTTTCAAAATTATTAAACCACTAGTTAAACTATGTATCTGTGAAACCAGATGATGATGGTTGTCATTCGTTTTATCCACTTAAATTTTACAATTTGAAAGACTCCTAATCTTTGTTCGAATAGGTTTGGGGTTTTTTCAAAGATTTTCTTGTTCTGAAACTAAAAAAACAAAAGTAGTGTTTCATAGTAGTTAAGAACCTCTAAGTACAGGCTCTTATCCTGGAGTAGATACTGATCCAGAAGCAGTCCTAGAAGAGGTTCTACGGGAGTGGGTGTGGGGTTTCCTGAGTTTAGAATAGGTAATGGTGCAAGCTACTTATTAGTTCCTGCAGTGGAAAACGGCCAACTCTAAAAAATGTTTGGATACAATAGATTGGCAGCACCCTCGACGTCTGACCTGGCCTTTTTTGGTGTCGTGGCTGAATCAGAAATCAGAGAGGTATTTAAATCACTGGTCAGTAACATTTGGCTGCATCATGTGAGCAGCACGAGGCTCTGAATGCCTCTACATTAGTGCAAGAGAGTCTAGCTACTGTAGCACTGTGACTTCAAATACCTTCATCTTCATGCTTGCTTTAAGTCAGTTAGGGCAGGCAAACTCATAATTGCACTTGAGGTTACATCATGTGAAAGCTAAATTTTGTTTTCTTCACTCTCCACCAGCTTACGTTTAACAGTCTGGCCCCTGTCGCTCACAGCTCAGCACTGTCCCTACTGACCGTGCTCAGTCCTGCAGATCCCTCTCCATGTATTTCCTCATCCGCTGACAGCGAGGACAAGACTGCTCATCAGCCTTGCAGCTTATGTGAAACAAAGCTTTGCAATCTTCACACCTGGACAAGAGAAAAAACAAACCAAATTAAAGGCACTGTGGACACAATTTCCACACCACTTCTAGTAAAAATACTAATGACCAAGCAAGTTAGCATATGTTAAAGGTTTTGTTTTGCTTTTCCACAAACTTAAAGTATGATTTTCACAAAAGAAGTCAGTTGACGGTGTCAGTCTTAAATCCTCCGATAGAGAAAATGTGTTTCTCCAATGTTTTATATTCTTGGAAACAAGTATACAAAACACCAATAATTTCCACACATATAGGTGTTATTTTTATAGCTTTGGAGACACAGATTTTAAGATGTTATCAATATTTTAAAATGAGGTACAGGACAAGACAGGACAGTTTGAATTCACGTTCTATAAAGCGCTTCTTTGGTAAAGCCGAGCGAGTGGTTGCAGTTGTCACACTATACCTTAGGCTCCTTCAGCCTCACACCCACTCTCTTCAGAGGCTCAAAGACTTGGACTTTCTCCACACTAATGAGTACACTGTAATTTTCAAAGCCACCAGACAGCAGTTGCTAATCTAAATCTAAAGTGTGTTCTCAGGTATAATTGCTATTTTTGTCAGTGGAATCTGGCTGGTTTGACAAGAATGCAAAGACTTCAGTTCCACTTCAAAAAAAAGCACATGAAAACAGGGCATTGAGGGATTTGTAAATGAGAAGATGGATCTCGTACGT